TATGATGTATCTGTTAAAACTGGTTCACTGAACGTGTTTATATTATTTGTTCCATCCATCCATCTTCTCCCGATTATCCGTGGTCAGGTCGCGGGGGTAGCAGTTCCAGCAGAGAGCCCCAAACTTACTTTTCCCTGGCCACATCAAGCAGCTCTGACTGGGATCCCAAGGCGCTCCCAGGACAGCGAAGAGATATAATCCCTCCACCTGGTCCTAGGTCTACCCCTTGGTCTCTTCCCAGCTGGACGTGCCTGGAACACCTCCCTAGGGAGGTGCCCAGGTGGCATCCTAACTAGGTGCCCGAACCACCTCAACTGGCTCCTTTCGACACGAAGGAGGAGCGGTTCAACTCCGAGTCCCTCCCGGATGACCGAACTTCTCACCTGCGGAGAAAACCCAGCTCAGCCGCTTGTATCCGCAATCTCGTTCTTTCGGTCATGACCCATCCTTCATGACCATAGGTGAGGGTAGGAACGAAAATGGCCCGGAAGACAGAGAGCTTTGCCTTCTGGCTCAGCTCCCTTTTCGTCACAACGGTGCGGTAAAGTGACTGCAGTACCGCTCCTGCTGCTCTGATTCTCCGAGATACTTGAACTCCTTCACTTGGGGTAAGGACTCATTCCCTACTTGGAGTGGACAATCCATCGATTTCCTGCTGAGAACCATGGCCTCAGATTTGTAGGTGCTGATCCTCATCTCAGCCGCTTCACACTTGGTTGCGAACCGATCCAGTGAGTGCTGAAGGTCGCAGACCGATGAAGCCATTAGAACCACATCATCTGCAAAAAGCAGTGGTGCAATCCTTAGTCCACCAAACTGCAGACCCCCTCCCCCACGACTACGCCTCGAAATCCGATCCATGTATATTACAAACAGGATTGGTGACAAAGCGCAGCCCTGGCGGAGGCCAACCCTCACCGGAAATGGGTCCCGACTTACTGCCGAGGACCCGGACACAGCTCTCGCTTTGGGAGTACAGAGATTGGATGGCCCTGAGTAGAGACCCCCTCACCCCATACTCCCGCAGCACCTCCCACAGTAACTCCCTGGGAACTCGGTCATACGCCTTCTCCAAGTCTACAAAACACATGTAGACCGGATAAGCGTACTCCCAGGCCCCCTCCAGGATCCTTGCGAGAGTAAAAAGCTGATCCGTCGTTCCACGACCAAGACGGAATCCGCATTCTTCCTCCTCAATCTGAGGTTCGACAATCGGCCTGACCCTCCTTTCGAGTACCTTAGAGTAAACTTTCCCGGGGAGGCTGAGTAGTGTGATGCCTCTGTAATTGGCACACACCCTCTGATCCCCCTTTTTGAAAAGGGGAACCCCCACCCTGGTCTGCCACTCCTTCGGTACTGTTTCCGACTTCCACGCAACGTTGATGAGACGTGTCAACCATGACAGTCCCTCAACACCCAGAGCCTTCAGCATTTCTGGGCGGATCTCATCCACCCCCGGGGCTTTGCCACTGTGGAGTTGTTTGACGACCTCAGTGACCTCCCCCCGGGAGATTGATGTTGATCCCCCGTCATAATCCAGCTCTGCCTCTAACATAGAGGGCGGAGTTGTCGGGTTCAGGAGTTCCTCAAAGTGTTCCTTCCAACGCCCTAACACTCCATCAGTTGAGGTCAACAACGTCCTATCCTTACTGTACACAGCTTGGATGGTCCCCTGCTTCCCCCTCCTGAGGTGTCGGACAGTTTTCCAGAACAACTTTGGTGCCGCCCGAAAGTCCTTTTCCATGTCTTCTCCGAACTTCTCCCACACCCGCTGCTTTGCCTCGGCCATGGCTGAGGCTGCTGCCCTTCGGGCCTGTCGGTACCTTGCAACTGCCTCGGGAGTCCCCCGGGATAACAAATCCCTGAAGGCCTCCTTCTTCAGTCGGACGGCTTCCCTGACCACCGGTGTCCACCAGGAGGTTCGAGGGTTACCGCCCCTTGAGGCACCTAAAACCTTGAGACCACAGCTCCCCACCGCGGCTTCGGCAATAGAGGCTTTGAACACCGACCACTCTGGTTCAATGTCCCCAACCTCCACAGGAATGCCCGAAAAGCTCCGCCGGAGGTGTGAGTTGAAGGCCTCCTGAACTTGGGCCTCCTCCAAACGTTCCCAGTTCACCCGAACTACACGTTTGGGCTTACCAGGGTCTATCCAGAGGGCTTCCCCCGCCACTCGACCCAACTCACCACCAGATGGTGATCAGTTGACAACTCCGCCCCTCTCTTTACCCGAGTGTCCAAAACATACGGCCTCAGGTCCGATGATACGATAACGAAATCGATCATGGACCTTCTGCCTTGGGTGCTCTGGTACACGTACACTTATGAGCATCCTTATGTTCGAACATGGTGTTTGTTATAGCCAATCCATGACTAGCACAGAAGTCCAGTAACAAACCACCACTCCGGTTCAGATCAGGGGGGCCGTTCCTCCAAATCACGCCCCTCCAAGTGTCTCCATCATTGCCCACATGTGCGTTGAAGTCTCCCAGCAAGATTAAAGAGTCCCCTTCAGGAGCCCCATACAGGACTCTTTCCAGGGTCTCCAAGAAGGCTGTATACTCCGAACTGCTGTTGGGTGCATAAGCACACACAACAGTCAGAGTTTTCCCCCCCATAACCCGCAGGCATAGGGAGGCGACCCTCTCGTCCACTGGGGTAAACTCCAACAACGAAGCACTCAACCGGGGACTTGTGAGTATCCCCACACCCGCCCGGCGCCTCACACCTTGAGCACCTCCGGAGAAGAATAGAGTCCAACCCCTATCCAGAAGTAAGGTTCCGGAGCCGACGCTGTGCGTAGAGGTGAGCCCAACCAGATCCAACTGGTAACGCTCCACCTCCCGCACAAGCTCCGGCTCCTTCCCCCCCAGAGAGATGACGTTCCACATCCCCAAAAGCCAGCTTCTGTCGCCCGGGTCTGGTCCGTCGAGACCCTCTGCTTTCACTGCCACCCTTCTGGCAGCGCACCCGACCCCATCGCTGTTTCCCGTAGGTGGTGGGCCCGCGGGACGGAGAAGCGGAGGTGTTGCCCACGTTGCCTTTTCGGGCTGTGCCCGGCCGGGCTCCGTGGCAAGCCCGGCCACCAGACGCTCTCCGACGAGTCCTCCTTCTGGGCCCTGGCTCCAGAAGGGGACCCCGGGCTTCCTCCGGGCCGGGTATCCTCACTTCCTGGTTTTTCTTTCATGAGGTCTTTTGAACCAATCTTAGTCTGGCCCCTTGCCTGAGACCAATTTGCCATGGGAGACCCTACCAGGAACACAAGGTTCCAGACAACACAGCCCCCAGGTTCATCAGGCACACAAACCTCTCTACCACGGTAAGGTGCTAGTTCTTCAGAGAGGCAGTTGGTCACTAATGTATTCCCCCAATAATGAAATCTAATCAAATCCAACATTGACAAGCACAACACAGGAAAGAGATGATTGGCTCACAGTTGTTGTGGCAACATCTGATTTATTTGTTTAAAGAAGCAAACCACATTTAGTCAGCTGCTTGATTTGGAAGTTGGAAAAGAAAAGGGATTGAAAATAATTAGAGTGATCGTGAAGATAGTCTATTTTTATTCACATCTTTAGACTCAAATGCTTTTACATTATTGGTTTTCATTCATAAATATAACATTACTAATGAAAGGTTGTTAGGTAATGTTAGGAAAATATCACTCGTCACAGGCTTGAGCTTCAATATCAGGATACATGTATGTATTATCCTTGCAGGAATGGAAGTGGTCATCACATACAGAGCTGCGTGGGACAAAGAGTTCTCAGAACAGAGTCCTTCAAATGCCTTAAATACAAGAGAGGGTGTGTCACAGTCACAAGATGCAGAATACCGGTTCAAAGCAGTATTCAATGTTTAGTTCAGATTAGTTAAGGCCCACGTAAGCATTAAACATGACAGTCATATGTCTATCTCCATAGAGGCTTAATCATCATGTTAATCGTTGTCATATATCATCATATGTCTAAAACAGTGCGTCCTCACGCTCTTCTAGGTAATCATACATCCTGCTACGTACACAGCTACGTATGGCCTTTCTTATCATGTGCTACTCTGATATTAGAAGAGTACATTCAGTATTTTCCCAACAGGTAACACATTTTGAATATAATTGAATTGGACTTGGTTGTAAAAACAGTCAGTGGTGGAAAGTACCTAAGTACATTTACTCAAGTACTGTACTTAAGTACAATTTTGAAGTACTTGTACTTTACTTGAGTATTTCCATGTTTAGCTAATTCAGAGGTAAATCTTGTACTGTTACTCCACTACATTTATTTAACACCTTTAGTTACTTGACAGATTTTGATTAATAATGTGAAATATAATCAACTCTTAAATCAGACCTGGAGTAAATCCAGCTCTCCTGCAGCATGCAAAGTCAATAAAACTAGCTGCACCTTTACCAGGTTGATAAGGGTTATTATAATAAAATCATATCATATATATTACTCTGAAATGGTCCAATCTGCATATTAAGTACTTTTACTTTTGATACTTTAAGTATATTTCGATGCTAACACTTTTGTACTTTTACTTGAGTAACATTTTTTATTTGTAACAGAGTATTCCTACACTCTGGTTCTTCTACTTTTAATTAAAAACACAATCTGAGTACTTCTTCCAGCTCTGAAAACAGTCCTTATATTTTCTGAAATATTGGGATTTTGTTTGTAATTTTCTTTTTTAAGTTGTATCAGTTACTGGCAGGAAGTTAACATACAAAGTGAGTGCTTTGAAAGATAAATACAGTTACATAAATAAATAAAATGTATGTCGATTGTCTGCTTTGCCTTTGATCCTTGGGATTCAGGAAAGTTTCGTTTTACACACCTTTTGAAGAAAAACGAAAGTGAAACCTATAAGAAACATCAGGCTCCCACACCTCTGCATACTAAGCAAACTGGGCATGGCGACCAAAGATTGGCCACAACGATTGGCTAAGGGAGGGTTTATAAGCAGCCACTTCAGACAGTTTCTTTGAAAATAAATGGTAGTTTGTTTTTCAAAAACCCGTGCAGAAAGAAGAAGAGAAGGAGTAAAAGGAACATTTGGAATTGAGATAAAGCAGGGGCTGGCAAATCGTGTTACTTTCATTAAAATAAACACTGACTTAAATCTAATCGACCAGTTTGATTTAACTAAATTACATTACAACAACTTGTATCTGTGGAATCTTTGTGTTGGTCACGACAACTGTCAGCCCCTGCTTTTGCGGGTCTTGGACCCAACTCTGGTGAGTCAGATCATGTTCAATACATTTTCAGTGTTATCTACATCTACTGTGTTTTGTTTGTAAACAGTGTTTACAAAAATCTTAGGGTTAGGTTTAAAACTTTGAAAAACTATAACGTTGTGTTATGATAAGCATAAAATTAATAAAATGTAAAAAGCCATACAAACTTTTACTTTTACATTGTTACCACCTAACTGTTCTGTCTCTTTGTTTCTCCAGAGGAGTTTAGACCTTCTCCCCATGCAGGTAAGGTTACTCTGCATTCTTTTATTTGTATATATAAATATATATATATATATTGAAATTACTGTACATCTGTTCAGCACATTTATTTTTTATTTACTTAAGCCTGTGCACTATTTTATGTCTTAAATTCAAATGTTTACTTACGTTATCTACTTTTATACATATTTGTTTGAGCACTGATGAAGAGCAGATCTAAGCATTTCATTGCCATCAAATGCTTTTCCTGTAACTGCTTATAGCACCTTGGGTTTGCTGTGAGCAATGAAAGGTGCTTGCAATAAAGACTTTAACATCAGAAGATGGTAACATTTTGTTTTCTCCACTTAGACGGACAGAAGCAGACAACAAGTTCCACAAGTGCCTGAGAGTGAAGAGATGTCTTCATCCCCTCCCACCGAGCCAGAACCCTCCTCACCCCAAAGGTATCGTCTAAGAAATAAAATGCTGTATTAACTTAAACTAGTTAAGTAGTAGTTACTAGGTATTGGGTCCCATGGAACTGAGTCAAGTAAATGTAAAAATACAGCTTTCAGTGGGTCGAATGAGTCAATCATACTTTAATATTTTTTTTTCTCTTACATTGATCACTCTGCATTCAAGATACAGAAAGAGACTTAACATGTCACCACAACTTGATATTTAACAGCTTGTTTTTATTTATCTTTGTCTAAACCTTCTGTAGATCTCAATACAAAATATAAACATGTGAAAGTAAACTTACGCAACAGATCATTTCGTTTTTTTCTCCTCGCTGTGTTATTGTACTGAACTCCAGTATATAGCATTATATATATATATAGTGTGTGTTTCTATTCACAACAAGAAGAGATCTTCAATCCAACACATCGCCCTTTAGCACACAAGTTAAATCAGCCATTGACAATCTGTTAGCTTTTGACAATATGCTTTATGAATTCAGTACATGCAGCATTTTTGTGCTAAAAGTTAAATAACAATCTTAAGCATATTGTTTTGTCCTGTGAATAAAGTAAAACCTTTATATTTATTTTTAGGGAAGAAGACCAGCATCTGGAAGATCATCACGGTGCCATTGATTCTAATTCAATGACATCAACAACAGCAAATATCAGTCAAAGTCCAATTCAACTATATAGTATATATTTACTAAATGTGTTGGCTGCTAATCTTATACCAAATGACAGCCTCTTTAACTTCAGCAATTTAAATAGGAGACAGATTTCCTTTACACTAGCATATATTAAGCATTACATGGATAATATAGAGCAACAAACAAATGTTCCTGACAAAAAGCTTTATACAAAATTCATGAAGTTTTTTTCAAAGATACAACCTGGATTCAGTATTGATGCAGCATTGGACGGTAGGCCTTGGCCATCTTTCCTAAAACACCGTCTTAAGGACCACCATAATCAATATGCATATGCTGAAGTTTTAATGAAAAATGGTGAAAGAATTCAAACTAAACTTGTTTATCCAGTTCATCGTAACAATTCAGCCTCCTCCACCAAATTGACCAAACACAGTGAGGAAATGTTATTGGAAGTAATCAATAGATTATTGAAGAAATATGGAATCAAAGTTCGAAACATTTTTATATATACCTATTATAGTCCATGTTTAAAGAGAGGAAATACATATTGTAACTGTATGACTCAACTTTATCAGAATGCCTATCAATGGTACAGGAAATTTGGCATTGTGACTGTAGTGTACTTCTCAGAGCCTTGGGGACTAAGGGGACCAGATATCTTTAAAGAGTTCTCGTATTCTGACATCTCAAGTACAAGCAGTGCTCTTTATCCATATGTTGACCAGAAAATCCACTTTACACTGGACATAAAAAAATTAAAACAAAAAAATAGGGCTATAATCCCTCAAATCAAAATGTTTAAAGATGACAGAGACGTACAAATAGCCTTTAAGTCTGCTCACAGTGCTCTTTGCGGGTTGGCAAACAGTTCTGAAGGATTTCTGAAAAGTCAGCATTTGGATCGTGGGTCAGAATGCATTGACTCACTCAAATTTCCCCCAGAGTTCCCTGATACAATCATTGCAACTTTGAGAGAAAATTGGATTGAATTGGTTAACTATTGTTCAATGTCTCCCATTATAAAACAATTGGCATCAGACTTCAACAATGCAGTAGTCAAACTATTTATCAGTGATCTTAGGTCATTTTTGGGTAACAGCGGCTTCTTCCAGATATACCAGGTCCCGCCGGGCGCTGAGGTGGAGGAGGGAGATTATGTTTAATTGATTAATACTTCATTTTGGTCAGAATTTATGTGACACAACATCAATCAATCAATCAATGTTTATTTATATAGCCCAATATCACAAATGTTACATTTGTCTCAGTGGACTTCACAGTTTGTACAGAATATCAGTATGACAATACGACACCCTCTGTCCTTAGACCCTCACATCGTACAAGGAAAAACTTCCGGAGAAAACCCACAGTTTAAAGGGAAAAATGGGAGAAACCTCAGGGAGAGCAACAGAGGAGGGATCCCTCTCCCAGGACGGACAGACGTGCAATAGATGCCGTGTGTAAATTGAAAAGATAATACATTTGCAACATAGGTAGTCCAAATGTTTGGAAATGCATGTGTGTATAATAGGAAGATGAATCCTCGAGGATATCCATCCAGGACCTATGATCCAGGACCACAGCCACGACTCAAGATCCAGGGCTCGCGATGCAGGACACAGGACCGCAGGATCATCCATGACTCCGGATCCCAGCGTATATAGACACCAAAAAGAAAGAAATTTGGGGAAGCTGGGTTAATCGGAACATGAGAGTACACAGGTATAGACAGAGAGAAGGAAGAAGTAAGATGTCCCCCGACAAACTAAGCCTATATCAGCAAAACTAGGGGCTGAATCTAATCAGCCCTAACTATAAGCTTTATCAAAAAGGAAGGTCTTAACACAAACACAAACTGGAAGCTGATTCCACAAATGTGGAGCTTGATAAGAAAAGGCTCTGGCTCCCATTGTACTTTTAGAGACTCTAGGAACAACCAACAACCCTGCATTCTTGGAACGCAATGTCCTAGTAGGACAGTAGGGTATAATGAGTTCTTTAAGGTAAGATGGCGCCTACCCATTAAGGGCTTTGTAGGCGAGAAGAAGAATTTTAAATTCTATCCTGTGTTCTATAGGGAGCCAGTGTAAGGCAGCCAGAACAGGAGTAATGTGGTCCCTTTTCCTAACTCTGGTTAGTACATGAGCTGCAGCATTTTGAATCAGCTGAAGCGACTTGACTGACTTCTTGGTACACCCTGATAATAAAGAGTTACAATAATCCAGCCTTGAAGTAACAAATGCATGGACTAGTTTCTCTGCATCGTTTTGAGGCAAGATATGCCTGATTTTTGCAATGTTACGTAGATGGAAGTAGGCGGTCCTTGAAATTGATTTTATGTGGGCGTTAAAGGATAAATCCTGATCAATTATAACACCAAGATTCCTTACAGTCTCACTGGAGGCCAAATGAATGCCATCCATAGTTAGTATATCTTTAGATAATTTGTTTCGTAGATTCTTCGGGCCAAGTACAATAACTTCAGTTTTGGTCGTGTTTAACATCAAAAAGTTTCAGGTCATCCACGTTTTAAGTCCTTGAGGCGGTCTTGAATTTTATTTAGATGATTAATTTCATCAGGCTTGATTGATAAATATAGTTGAGTATCATCCGCATAACAATGCAAATGTACAGAATGATTCCTTATAATATTGCCTAACGGAAGCATATATAATGTGAACAAAATAGGTCCGAGCACTGAGCCCTGTGGCACTCCATGGCTAACTTTGGTTTGCGTGTAAGATTCATCATTGACACGTACAAACTGAGAGCGTTCAGATAGATAGGACCTAAACCAGCCTAAAGCAGTTCCCTGTATGCCAACTAAGTGCTCTAGTCTTTGCAATAAGATATCATGATCGATAGTATCAAATGCAGCACTGAGATCGAGCAAAACAAGAATAGAGACAAGTCCCTTGTCAGAGGCTATTAGAATGTCATTTGTGACTTTAAACAGAGCTGTCTCTGTGCTATGATGTGTTCTAAAGCCAGACTGAAAATCTTCAAATAAATCATTGTTTTTTAAGTAATCACACAACTGTTTTGCGACTGCTTTCTCAAGAATTTTTGAGAGGAACGGAAGATTAGAAATAGGTCTATAGTTGGCTAAAACCTCTGGATCGAGGTTGTGCTTTTTAAGAAGCGGTTTTATCACTGCTACTTTGAATGATTGTGGAACATAGCCTGATAATAAAGACATATTCATAATATTTAATAAAGAAGTGCTAATTAATGGGAAAACTTCCTTCAACAGCTTAGTTGGAATTGGGTCTAACACACACGTTGATGGTTTAGAACAGTGGTTCCCAACCTTTTTTCCCAAGAGCCCCCCCAAATGACTCATGTACCCCCCCCCGGCCCCCCCCCCCCCACAAACAAGGCGGGGGGGGGGGGGGGGGGGGGGGGGCGCGCAACAGCGATAATTAAAGTTTAAAAGTCTCAAAAAAGCTACAACTACTGTCACAAACTGGATGAATGTCAAGTATTTTGTTAAAGAAGGATGAAAGCGTAATTAAGGAGCACTATTGGAGTGACTTTGATGGTTATTGGACTCAGGATTAATTTATTTGGATTCCCGCTGTATGAAGAAATTAAAGGACGGCGCAAGTGGAAACAATTCACAAAGGGATTAAACTGTTTAAAACACATGCTCAAAGTAAACCGAATGTTGCCGATGTGTTTATGTGGATTCAAAAGTCGTAAATAATCTACAAAATGGAGGAGACCGATCTGATTGGAGCAACTGTGACAAATAATCCAATTGAAACCGGCATGGACAATGACTATGTTTTAAAAATGCGCTTATCCAGACAAGCCTGGTTTGGACACTTTATGGGCAGAAGATACATTTATATTAATGAAAGAATTATACATTTCTGTCTTTTTATGCCTTTAATACTAACTTGAATTTTTTATTAAAATTAATTAGTCAATTATTTTTTATATTTTTATTGTAATGTAGAGACAAGGCTTTTAGTGACAATCATGTATTGCCTTACAATTATATGTAAAAAAATATATATATTTGGCCTCAAATCATCTGAGGCCTGGCGCCCCCCCTGCGATCTTTGGCGCCCCCCCCCCCCCCCAAGGGGGGCGCGCCCCCCAGGTTGGCAACCACTGGTTTCGAAGAGAGAATCATTGAATTTAATTGTTCAAGGTTTATGGCTGAAAAGCATTCTAGTTTACTATCTAGTATAATATTAGAACTTACGTTTCCGGGAGCTGTTGATAACACTATACTGGTCAAAGGCAAGAGGTCATTAATTTTGTTTCTAAGAGTAACAATTTTATCGTTAAAAACGCACATACAATCATTACTACTGAGTGCTATGGGAATAGAAGGCTCAATCGAGCTGTGGCTCTCTGTCAGCCTGGCTACAGTGCTGAAAAGAAATCTTGCATTATTCTTATTCTCATCTATTAATGAAGAGTAGTAGGCTGCTCTCGCTTTACGCAGTGCTTTCTTATATTCATTGAGAGTAATATGCCAAGTTAAACGAGATTCTTCAAGTTTAGTGGAACGCCATATCCTTTCAAGTTGTCTCGACTTTTGCTTTATTTTTGCGGGTTTCGGCATTATGCCATGGAGCTAATCTATGTTGTTTTATTTTCTTCTTTTTCAAAGGAGCAACAGAGTCTAATTTTATTCGCAGCGCATCTGTAGCACTATCAACAACATGATCAATTTCGGGTGGTGTACATTTTGTATACGTTTCCTCCCCTACATGCAGCATGCTATCGAATTAAGTATTGGTGGAATCTCTTCCTTACATTTGGCTATAGCACTAACAGATAGGTTTCTGCTGCAGGAGCTTTTGACTAATGCTTTGTAGTCTAGTAACAGTACTTCAAAAGTTACTAAGAAATAGTCGGATAAAGCAGGATTATGCGGTTCGACTAATAGTTGCTCAATTTCAATACCATAAATCAGAACAAGGTCGAGAGTGTGATTATAGCAGTGGGTTGGTTTATTTACACTCTGACAGAAACCAACAGAATCTAATATAGAGTTAAATGCAACAGTAAGGCTATTTTTATCATCGTCAACATGAATATTAAAGTCACCTACGATAATTACTTTATCTGTTTTAAGTACCAAAGTTGATAAATACTCAGAGAATTCTGATAAGAATTCTGAATAAGGACCTGGTGCACGGTACACTGTAACAAATAAGATTGGCTGCAAAGTTTTCCAGGTCGGATGCGTAAGACTAAAAACGAGGCTTTCAAAGGAGGTATAATTTAATTTTGGTTTAGTATTGATAAGTAAACTTGAGTCAAAGATTGCCCGTGCCTCGGGCAATATGAGTATTGATATGGCTGGGTGGAGTGGCCTCATTTATGCTGACATATTCTTCATGTCTCAACCAAGTTTCAGTGAGACAGCATATATCAATATTATAATCTGATATTAAATCATTTACCAATATTGCTTTACTTGTGTTGAAAAGTGCTATATAAATAAACTTGCCTTGCCTTGCCTTGCCTAGATGCTAGAGATCTTATGTTTAAGAGACCACATGTAATCTTCCTGTTTTGTTGCACTGTAGTAGTTGTTACATTTACTTTTATTAGGTTATTATGTATGACACCTCTATTAGGTTTTAACTTAAATTGTCCTCTGGCAGACACACACACCGCTAATATTGGGTATTTTATTGGGTTCGGGATTCCTATGGATGACTGCCTAGGAGAGAGTGCAGAGAAGCGTGTAAGACTGCGACTCCGCCTCCTGGTCTCAACTCCAGTTTGGATTTAAGTCCACAAAGCCCTGAAATGTTTGCCGAAATGAGATTTGCACCTTCCAAAGTAGGATGAATGCCGTCTCTCTTAATCAGATCAGGTTTTCCCCAGAAGGCTGTCCAATTATTTACGAAGCCCACATTGTTTGCTGGGCACCACCACATTTAATTATATTGTCATTACTATATTTTGATATATTTATATACACGTAAAAAAAAAAATATATATATATGAATTTAATAAAACATTGACCTTAACCTTTTGTAGTTAAACAAAGGTTTTTGGGCTTTTTTTAACACTAAAAGGCATTCAGACTGTGTTGAATTATTACTATTGGTACAGGTTTTGGAACGATGCTTTCTTTTTATTTGATAATATAATATCGTTGGGTTCTAATTGTAATTAGTGCTCTAATTATTTTTGAACTCAAGTGTTTGTCTGGATGTTTGTTGTCTGCATCTGTCCTGAGCTCTTAAATAAAATAAATAATAACTCACATTGAAACTGTGTTGGCTTTGTTCCCTCATTAGCAACTAAATGTCCCTGCCGGTTCAACAGGTGTGTGGACATGAACGAGACACGTAAGTAGGCGAGGACAAAGAAATGGACAAAGAGACAGAGGGTGGATGGAGTAAAGGCAGGAAGGACATAATCCACATTTGACTATACCCAAAATCTGCAACTGGATCTCCTGCCAAAATGAGTTGAATGAAATAATGCAGAATT